CAAAACGGCGCATATTTGATCGAAATCGGATAATCCTAACTATGTTAATTTCATCGTCGAAATAAAGCGAAAAAACGCTCAGAACTTTTTACTTCATCTAATATATATATATATATATATATATATATATATATATATATATATATATATATAATTTTACGACTCACTATCGTGACATATATAACATAATAAATCATTGTATATGTTTTCACGCTCTTGCGTAAGTCACATCATAGTTACGAGACTGATTTGCATGTGACAACTAATCTCATTTAATTTGGCCCGTACTGTCATTTGTAATAAGAGAGATTATATTTATAAATTGTGTGTTGCAGTAACTGTTAACGAAATGCACACGAAAAATTATTCAAATCAATAATATTTCTCATACCTAAAGAGAGATTATAATTAGAAATTCTAAAACCGATGGATCAATAAAAATAAAGATAAAAAATTTACTCACCGCGTATCCAATATTGAAAAAGTGCTCATAATACCACATGCAATGTTTCTGTCACTTCGTACATCCAATTAACATGATACAAGCAACTTATACTTACTACAGAAAAGAATATACTTCTTGTTATATGTAAAATATATAAACTTTGTGACGATTAATCTGTGTGACTTCTAAACCTCGTTTCTCCTAAAAGCCAAACGGATGCGAATATTTTAAATTATAGGAGAATAATAATATTTAACAGTGTAAACGCACGCGTTATAATATTATTATATTATAATCTATATTATAATATTATTATATTATTATTATTATATTATATCACATTCTGACTTCTGGCTGAGGTAATATTTTTCGTTACATTAAACATGCATAGAAAATACATAATTAAATAATTAGAACGGGGAAGTGAGGAGTTAATTAATATTAATATTAATTAATGCGCTGCAATTTCGAAAAAATATTCAGCGCGCGCGCGTTAATATTCTGTCAGACATTATTATTCTCCCATAATTGAAAGTATTTATACAAGCATTCGCAGTTTGGCTCTCACCTGCCTCACCTGTTCTTCATTCTGTCCGTATACTGCGGGAGTCTCTTTTTACACAGTATGAATCATGATGTTACAGCGAAAATGTCGGGGCATATAATGCAAACGACGTTGCCGTCACGCTACGTTCATAATACCGCGATTCGTTGTATCTTCAAATCACATCCGTTCCCCGATTTCTGCTCTCGCTGCGTTCTTACGCACTCCTTGTGTCATGTCTAAGAAATGGAAGTTCGTGAAGTTTCACGGCAGGTCTTCGTACTTGGCTGGTTCGAGATGCGTTACATTATACGGGTCAGAGAGCCCATCGTGTAGACGCGCGTTCGGAAAGGTATCCGATCGGAACGCTCTCGTTTTTCAGCCGTTATCCCATCATGGACACTCGGATTCTCGAAACGATCGGAAAAGCTTCCGGCGCGTCGCGAGCTGGCGGAAAATCGATTCCGATCGGCAAACGTCGGGGCTACGGGAGGCCCCGCGTCGCGATTGCAAGAGACGCGCTTGTTTCGCCGCGCGTGCTTGCATCACGGACACAACAGGCTGATTTTCCGTAGGAAATCCACGTAATTTCCCCCTCCTCCCCTCCCCATCCTTTTAAAAAAAAAGAAAATACGTAGCGCTCGGGGACAGGACGATCGGAAACTCGCGTTTCCGGAATCAGAATTACAACAGCTTTCCCGACGGTCATAACGATGCGTGAATAGCGAATTAAAGGAAGGATGATCTTGTTTCCATTGCCTCAAGCTATAAATACGGATGACTCTTGAATAGTACGTACAATTGGTTTATATGTCACACGCCTGATTAGTTTTGTATTATTCGAATAAATATTATTTGTTTCGCAAGTGTGTCATAAGTTTATACATTCGCAATTTCAGTTTCATCATAAGCTTACCAAAATTATTCAAAATACATTATGAATCCTAGTAAGTTTAGCATCCCAATGAAAAATATCAAATTGAGACAAAAATTTAATTTGCTTACTACAGATAGAGTCGAACTCCAATTTCTTCTTCGACTTCTTCTTCGAGTTTTATAACAAAGAGAAATTCTTGCAAAGAGAATAATTTTTTCTTTTAAGTACACGATAATAAGCTTCTCTCAAGTTTATAATGAGTATATTTCAAAACTATTATCAAGAAAATATTTCTTACTGCAGATAACCATTGCGCAAAAGAAGTAATCGCTTTTCATAGTAACATGATATTTTTTTTGTTTGTACACACAGAAAAATGCAAACTGCATATTTGTTTTAAGTGTATGCCATAAGTTTATATATTCACAAATCTATCACAATTTTATCATAAGGATTAAATTTACACTGAGACAAAAATATTCGAAAATTTATTTGTGGGATATAAAGTGTATATAAAGTGTACACAGAAATAAATTTTATAACCTATAAATAAATTTTCTAGGTTTTTTCTCAGTATTTAAAGTACATTCTGAATCCTACGCTGAGAAGAAAATATTTTAAAATTTTTATTTGTGGGATATAAAATTTATTGCTGTGAATGAGCATTAGCATTGAGTGTTTAGTATTTCAGTGAAGAATATTAAATTAAAACAAAAATTCAATTAAATGGTTACTACATAAAGTCAAACAAATGTTTCAAATGTTTCAAATGTTTCTTCGACAACATTTTATATTCTATAATTTCATACAGTTTCATTATAATTTCATTAAAATTCATAATATTCTTGCGAAGAGAATAGATTTTACTTTTAAATACATGATAATGAGCTTCTCTTTAATTCGTGATGAGTTTTAAGACTATTATCAAAAAAATATCTTTCATTGTAGGGAACCATTGCTTAAAAATAGTGAAATAAACTGAATAATTGTTTTTCTTAGCAGTACAATGGTATTTTTCTGCGCGTGTGTGTGTGTGTGTGTATGTATAGAATTCGTGCAATTTTTTATTTCTTTATTCGCATCGTTCTTTACTGAGTGACCGTGTTATCTGATCTTCGTGCAATTCAGAAATGCTATTCCGTGCTATTCAAAGGTTGTAGCGTAGTGTCGTCCGTGCTATTTGAAACTTTGTACAATTCAAGTACCGTGTTATTCGAGAAGGATACGAAGACAACGAGTTCTTTCTTCCAGACACTCGCAGAGAGAGAGAGAGAGAGAGAGAGAGAGAGAGAGAGTCGATAAGCTGCTTATTACTTAGCAGTCGGTAATCCCTTACCTTAATAATAACGAATATTTATTGGACCAGTCTCTGTCGTAAATAGTATTTTAGCGGGAAACAAAATTTTCGATAAAAAGAGAGTTACGAAAGCTACGAGTCGACGACTTGATTCGATATATTAAGGGAACGTTCGTCGAGAGACACCAACTCGATCGCTTCAACGAGTCTCAATACCGTCTGGGAGGGCTCGTCACGAGGAGTCACGGAACTTCCGCAACTCCATTCTACCTTGTGTATTCCTTTTGCCTTGTCCCTATACATTACACTGTATCTCGATTTAAAAAGCTCGCCGGCGAGCGAAATGTAATCGCTCGATCCCCGCGTTCCGGTCAAGGGTTTCCCTTTGTCCGTCATGGGGAGAATAGGCGGCAGTCGGAAATGGAATCGTCGAGCCCCGAGGCGGGCTCTCATCGGCGACAGATGTCGGTTATTGAAAGGAGGTCTTCCCTTTTTGTTTCCAGCGCCACGATTGTACGGCGACCGAGTCCCCGTCAGATTAATAAGGACCACCAGCAGTAAAGTGCGGCAGAAGATCGTCGAGACCCACAATTATTTTCGCACGCAGGTCAAGCCAGCCGCCGCCAACATGCTCGTCATGGTGAGAACTTCATTCTTATTCTCTCCTTGTCCGCGACAAGGAAGGGTCGCGGCGTCTCGGGGATGCGCACTGCGGGAGTTTATTGCGCGAGCTTTGGCGCCTTCGAGACATCAGACGGCTCTCTATTAAATTTTCGCGGGAAGAAACTAACTCTAAATCCGCCGGAGACTGCGACGAGAACCGAAATATCGTGACGACGAGACTTCGCGCGCGAAATTCCGCGTGGAGACGGGCGGATGCCAAATTCGTCAGACGGCGTCATTAGAATTTGATGCGGCTGCGACGATACCGGGGCGACGAGTTCGTATCAAATTCTCGGGGGCAAACAGCAATTCCAAATTCGGCCGGGGCTGTCGTTAGAATTTGATGCGCCAGAGCGTCGAGTCATCCCTATACACGCCGGGGATCCGCAGAAAATTGTTCTCGGAATACTTAATCATACAACGGCGACACATCGGGCTCATAAATCACGCAGCCTGACATTGGACTCGCTTTAATAGCGCTGGATTTTTTCAGATAACAAGATTATCGCGCACTGCTTTACTTCTGCTTGATTTCTTACGTGTTAATACACAGGCTGTTTGACAATAGGTGGCTGCAAACACTCGTGTGCGGGTAAATTAGGTCAAACTGAGCAACAAGGTCCTCTATCATCTTTCACATAACTACGTCGATTTTCGAGTTATTAATTAAAGAAGATGGCGAGTAATCTCGCACGACTGTTAACTAATCTTCTTTAATAACTCAAAAATCTACGGAGTTATTTGCAAAATAGTAGAAGAATTTGTTGTTTAATTCATGTGACTATAGAGACTTATACAGAACAGATTGCGCATTCTTATGGCTGATGATAAAATTGAAGAACAAAGATATGCTAAATCTGTAAATAAAAAATGCTTTTTCTGTCAAAGTACTTTAGGAGAAACAAGAGAGAGAGAGAGAGAGAAATAGTGAAAGAATGAGAAGACGCATTGATCATGTGATCACGTGTCTTCCTTCATTTTCCCTAAAAACTAGACTATTAGACGAGGAAAGCATCTTTCTCTCCATCGCCCTCTCTTACCAATGTTGAAATCATTCTTCTCCTAAAGCAATGCGCAATTTATTCTACATGTCTGTGTATTTGACCTAATATAAAAGCACACAACAAGAATTATATATATATATATATATATATATATATATATATATATATATATATATATATAAAAAAATATATATATATA